CAGGAAAATGGGGTGGAAATTTATTTTCACCACATAATAACCATGGAGAAATAGAATAACATTAGAAAACCCACTCAAAATCTGTTAAGCATAGATTAAATAAAAACATGAAAAAATTTCAAGTAAGAAACAACCTTATTGAGCATACGAAGTAACAAGAGATTCTGTTTGTGCTTATTGTAAGTATGCATATCTCTGATCATGAGTTGAAAAAAATAAGAGTCTATCCAAGTGTTACTAGACACACCAACTAATAAGATCCAACATATTGTAGACAAAAACTCAAATCTTCAAGAAATCCACACATTGCCATAACAAAAGCTGTAAAATTCAAATAACTCAACTACGAACTCAGAATATTGCAGTATCAACAGAAACTTTTGGGCTCTTAAAGAATCCTAGAAATCCATTAATTAGTCTCCTGTATCCTGGTTCCGGATCAATCAAACGGGGATGATAACCATCTGCGTCTGCAACATCTTTTCTGACATTATTTGAAGAAAGATGATGATCCAATGGGAGATCTTTCAAGGCAGCTGGTAGTTCATTGCCAAAGACACCATATATCCAATTCCACCAGGTTGCCAAAGAAGAAATCTATGACCTTTCAACATTTTCTAGAAAAATAAAAGTACATAATGCAAATCCAATCCAAATCATGAGACATCTTTTCACAGGCATCTGGATCATATGTTGTCATGAACGAGGTATACATTTCTCCAGCAAATTCACAGAGTACCAATAACCGAAGTGGATAAAACTTTATAAATTAGTCAATTTAGCAATTGAACCACCATCATCAAGAAATTATTGGGCTAAGATAATGAACTTAAATATTTGGCAACCAAGATTCTTATCAACTAGTATGCATTGCATCAACACATGCTCATCATGTATTACCAAACTTATTCCAGTTATTGTTCATAGGCATTAAAGAAAACAAGACACACCCAAAGCCAAAACTAGGTTGAGCATTTAAGCTCCCAGTTTTTAAAGTACTTCCAAATTCAAATACAAGGAAGGTAGGAGGGATGCAAAAGGGTATTCAGAGAAATGGAAGTTGCATTGTGGTCATGTTTACTGAACACGAAGGAAAATGAGGAAGAAAAAGTTTTGTTTGAACTTACCATTACAAACTTTAAGAAGGGAAATCTAAAACACAATGATTTCCCTCTCTCTCTCCCTCTCTCTCTCTGTTCAAACATGTACATCAACAACCCATCCTACCTACTAACGCTAGTAAGGTTGAAGAAAGGATGCATCGAGCAAGCAACACAACCCCCGGTTCTACTTCACTAAGCCCCGTCCGTTGTAAGTTTGCCTGGAAAAATCATACCCCTTGTGTATCACAAAAATCCTTAAATCTTAATAAGAAAGAAAGCATGGGCTGGGTTCTAAAATGAACTGTTACTCTTTGATAGCCTCTTGAGGTTCACCTATTGGTTCTGCTCCTCGTATTCATTTTTTGGCTTGGTAAAATTATAAAATGCTTAAATTTCAAGGCATGAGAACGAGGATTTCAAGTCTAAGAACAACCACTGTGATCCTGGAGTTTGTGGGTTCTTCCTCAAGTACCTTAACAAGATAAAGTTGAGGTTAATAAAGAAGACAATAGAGAATTAAGTGTTAAAGGTATAAACCAAAAGACAAGAAGCTTATTGAAATAAAGAAAAAGCATAAGACAAGAACAACTTTGGTGTGATCGAGATTTTGGTATTCCATTACTATTATAACTGCCATGGTGCATTGTTTAGCGATTGTAAACATATCTAATAAGTTGGTCCCCTTGTCCATAATATCCAATTTGGTCAGCACTTCGAATAGGAAACAAGTAGAAAACAACTACTGTCTAGTAGACTGGAAATCAATCTGACAGCAAACACCTTGGAAAAACAAAGAAAATGAGGCCTATGCAATGGTAAAGGTACTGCATGAACTTGAGAATACCTGTACGACCAACTTAGATGACCTCAGCAAGAGTGGGGCATAAACACTCAACATGGTGTCAAGAATGTGTGGTGAGCTCCCAATGTGGAGGGCTGGTGAGGATCCGCAACCAATCGTTTCCGTTGTTCTGTTGCTCTTCCTCAAGTTGCCTTGCAGATTTTGTAGCAGAGGGGCTACAATCAATCGCCTCAATAATCTCTAGTGTGAGTATATCTCCTAGTTCTGAAGGGATTTCCTCGAGTTGGAAACATCCTTGCAGCATCAATTTCTGAAGGCTTGGAAAGTGAGTACTAGAGGTTTCCCATCTCACAATATTTGAGTAGAAAATTTTCAACAATCTGAGTCGAGGAAACCCCCCCATAATTTGTCTTCCAAAGCTCTCCCAAGCAGGCATGAAATTTTAATTTGAGAACCTCCAGGTTGGGCAACACCCCAATGGTTTCCATCTCATCCCACTTTAGATCAGTGTTTGATAATGTAAGCCGTTTGACATTTGAAGGAAACCTGTCCCATTGCAGATTCCACGATCTGCGAACATGGGTGTTTGTGTCCAGAAACTTCAATGTCTCAAGATGGTTTAAGAAGTCTAGATTAGGAAATGTCACACAACCTACCTCTGACATCATAGGTCCACAAAATCCCAGCTTCTTGAGATTGGTAGTCCTTTCCAATACATCTTGACAAGAACTAGAGAGACATACTTGAGAGATGGTTTGGAGGTTATCCAATGAGACGACATAATCATTAAAACAAGGTTTTTCGATAACATTTTCTCCTGATGTAATAAGCAGGTGCCTCAACTTTACCATGCTCCAAGTACTTTGCGGTATAGTGATATTGATCCTCGATGATATAATAAGTGTTTGCAGGTTCCTGAGGTTGGATATTGATGCCGGAAGATTCCCGTCTCTAATCTGAATCGATAAATACTTCAAACGACCAAGTTGTAACATTTCCTCGATAAAACAGATGATAGGGATGGATGAAAAATGCAAAACCCTCAGATGACTTAAGGTCTGACAAATGTGTGATACATGCCTCCCAGATAATGTGTCAGATTCAGGACCAAAGCATAAAATAGAACAAATGTAGGCGGTAGGAAGCTCTAAAGGAACTCTTTGCCAGACCTGAAAAAGTAAGAACTTGTTCGCGCTTATTAATCTGCAGCAGAAAATTTTCTTCATCAGCTTTTATCAAGCATAAAGCGTGCAGCAGATCATGGAGACGACATGCTCTGACTTCACCATCAGACCTCTTTTTGGCAACTAATACTAGACTTCTATCAATTAGATCCATCAAGTAATCGTGCGCTACATCTTCCAAGCACTTTTGCCCAACTTGCGGAATAAAGCTATCCACAACGATGCCAACTTCCACACTGGGATATCATAGTTGACTGGGAATGCCCACAATAGAGAAAGCATGCTTTCAAGTGATGAGGCAAGTGGTTGTAACTTAGTGCTAGTGCGTCCATGCACATATTTGGGCCTCTAATTACATACAAACTTACACAGTCAGCAACTCGGTTCCACCAGTCAGGCGTTTTCTCTTCCTTTGCAAGAAGTCCCGCAATTACAACTATTGTAAGCGGTAGTCCCTTACAATTGGCTGCAATTCGCTTTCCAATTTCCACCAGCTCTGGAGGGCAATACACTCTCTGATATATCTTTTGTTGCAAGAGTTCCCAACTTTTGTCTTGAGTTAACAAACACAAATGATGAGAGCTATAAGATTTAGCATGAAAAATACTATTTGTGATCCGACTAGTGCACATAATTCTACTTCCATTATTGTCCTCTGGAAAAAAAATTTCTAAATCACACTAGACCCCAATATTCCATATGTCGTCCAACACGATCAGGTACCTCTTATCTTTTAGGCGTTTGTATAGCTCTTCACCTAATTTTTCATCACTCATTTCACAAATTTCATCTCTAAGCTGAAAAGCAGAATGTAAAATGTCAAGCAAAGAGTCCCTCATCGAATATACTTGGGACACATAGGCCCAAACTCGAATATAGAAGTGATATACAACGAAAGGATCATTGTACACTTTTCTAGCTAGTGTTGTCTTTCCCAGTCCAGGCATTCCCACATTCGAGACAACGTGTAGCTTATTCCGTCCTACAAGTTGCTCTTTAATGGTCTCTGTTTCATCCTCAAAGCCAACCACAATTTCGTTATCTACTTTTGGAATACAAGCTGCTGATGGACTCCGCTTGATCGTTTGCTCTGCATACAGAATTTTGTGTGTTGATGAACTTCTGCTTGCAACAATTTTTGCCACATTGGCAATACTTTCTGTTAACGAACTTCCATAGGGAATCATGCCAACTTGTGGTACTCTGATGTACATTTTCTTGTCTTTATGCTTACTGATCTCTTTCTTTATAGTCGCTTCAATATCTTCACTGATGTAACGAAGGTCTAGAGACTTCTCAATATCTTCGGAGTAAGCACCTACCAGATAATCATCAAACTTGAAGGAAAAAACAAGTATCACAGCCACATATGAACTTATACTTAGGGCAACTTGCTCCCAAAAATGTTGGGTCTTCTCTTCCTTGGCAAGAAGTCCTGCTATGACTGCTATTGTGAGTGGCAGTCCATGACATTTTGCTGCTATTTGCTTTCCGATTTCCCATAACTCTTGAGGGCAGCTTTCTTTCCCAAACACCTTCTTTTGCAACAAAACCCAACTTTCATCTACCCCTAAAAGAGGCAGACAATGAACGGTCGTCTTACAAACAACGCTGGAAACCAAACCATCGTACCGTGTAGCGAGCATAATCTTACTTCCATTTTCGTCATCTGGAAAAGATCTTTTCAAATAGTCCCAGAAACCCACATCCGATATACGGTCGAAATCGATGACAACAAGATATCTCTGGCCCTTTAAGAAATTGTAAAGCACTTCAGGCAGTTCTTCATGACTTATTCTACTAATTTGGTCAGTAATCAGGAGAGCAGGACTTGAAATGCTAAAATCCCTTTGTCGATCCACTTTAGGAACACCGATCCGCGCTCGAACATTGAAGTGAGATGCAATGGAACGATCATTGTACACTTTTCTGGCTAGAGTTGTCTTACCCCTTCCTAGCATACCGACAATTCCACAAACTGGGACGTGCCTTAGTTGCAAGTCGTGCAACTTCGTCATCCACTCCTTCCATTGTAGTTGCAAGTGGTCCGACTTCCATCGTTCTCCTTCTCGAATAAGACGATCCACAATCTCCCCCGGCATTTCATCAGATCCCGATCCTGCTCCTCTTAGAATAAGCTGACCCACAATCCTCATCGTCATTTCATCAAATCCCACCACCGTTTCTTCCTCGGGATCTGATATCGATGAACTTCCAAATTGCAACGTTACCACAGTATCATCCTCAACTACTATCGTATCAGCTCTTGGAGGACATCTGATATCAGGCAATTTGAAACAAATTTCCTGCACCCCTGTTGAGATAGCCGTAATGAATTAATTATATTATCTATTAACAAATATTTGTTGTCAAAACTTAAATATAAGAAATTGATTAAACCCAACTTTCAAGTAGACGTACAATGAACGGTGATCTTATCAGTAATACTGGAAACCAAACCCTCGTACCGTGTAGCGAGCATATTCTTCCTTCCATTTCCGTCATCTCGAAAAGATCTTATCAAATAGTTCCAGAAACCCAGATCCCATATATGGTCACAACCGATGGCAACAAGATACCTCTGGCCCTTTAAGAATTTGTAAAGAACTCCTCGTGACTCATTTTACAACTTTGGTTAGTAATCAGGAGAGCAATATCTTCGAAAATAACAACTCATCTACCCTGCAACGAATACAATATTTTTTTTATTTTTAATTAGAATAATTTTTTCGTTTAATAACCCATATCTTTTGGTGCAAGGATTTGAATTGAATTTATATTGAACTTTTAAATCAATCAAAATCCAATCGAGAAACCTATAACCAGCCAAAACACGTAACAAACGCACACGTATGTCATAGACATAGAACATACATACACACATAAGACGTGCGCATACAAAGAGAGAAAAAAAATTTCCGTCAATATTTCCTCCCTCGAAAATGGTATGCAATCTCGTTGAGTCTTTCGTCCTCTTGACTCGGTCACTCCAATTCAAGTCCAGTATCCATCAATTTAAGTCCAAGCCCAAGATCCTCCTTCGACTGAATAGGAGCACGAGAGAGAGAATATTGAGATACGCACGAGAGATCTAATCTTGCTTTGATTGTACTTACCAAAATGATAGAAGCCCTCTTTCTCACGTTACCGTCTTATGTCTTACTAAACCTATATAATGTAAGCTCTCTCCACAAGGAGAGACATCTAGGCATGACCTTGAAACCTCTACATACCTCTCTACATCTCCTTAGTCTCTCTCACCTAAGGCATTGTAATTATCCCGGAGTACATTCTTCCGGTGACTTTTATTTATCAATAAAGATCTCAGGTCACCGCTGCCGTTCTCGAGAGTGAAGTAGGTCACCCGAACCGAACCACTATAAATCTTTGTGTGGACTCAATATTTACCGTTTTGACATTGATTATCTTAATTATTGCTCATTAATTGCACCCGTTCATATACTCGGCTGTTGATCTTGCGCAATATCGATTTGTGCATCATCAGTTTGGCGCCGTCTGTGAGAAATGACTAATTTTTCTACTCTCTTTCAAACCCATGACAATCACTACCCGATTAATGAGTCAACAATTGGGAGACAAAAACCCAGTCCACTGGGAAGAGGCTCCGCCTCCCCTCGTGCCCTCGGAACCATCTGCTACTACGACTGGACAGCAACAATAACTTTTATAAACTATGCAGTTGCTAGTGAAACAGAACCAGCAGATTATTCAATTAATGCTCACTCAGGGAGCGTCGCCTCTCAGCCTGTGGGAGGAGCCCCACTCCCTCCAACAAGAGAGGAGCAGCAGTCCATCCCTTCGGGGCGTCAGGTAGCCCCTCACCATGGGGGCCCTCGCCAAAATGCCCCAAGACCACAACAGGGCGCCCCTCGCTCAACAGTCTATTCTCAGCGCGCAGGGAGCTCTCGTGTACCCCCTTCGCATGTACCTGCGCAGGAGAACGAAGACGGAGAAAGCCAATATAGAGACCATGAAAACCAGTACCGCCACCCGACTATGGATGTCCCTAATTAGTGGGATGAGAATATTAGAGAGGTGCAGAACCAACTCGGTGATGCCCTCAACGCCATCAAGCACAGGCACCTGAAACCGTGGACTGCCTGGTAAGACGTAACGATATACCTTTTGTTATTGATATAGTTAACTATCCCCTACCCTCAAAGTTCAAGATGCCAACCATCGAGATCTTCGACGGTACCAAAGACCCCCTCAACGATCTCGACACATACAAATCCCTCATGCAACTCCACAACGTATCTAAGGAGATTATGTGTAGAGTATTTCCTACCACCTTGAAGGGGTCTGCTTGTCAATGGTCCACGAAGATCAAGCCCTTCTCCGTTCACTCCTTCGTAGAACTAAGCAGATCCTTCATCTCCCACTTCATGGGGGGACATCTACATCAGAAACCTGTGACCACTTGTTCACCATTAAACAGGACAGAGAGGAATGCCTCAGAGACTACTTCGCCCATTTCAATGAGGAGGCTCTCTAGATTAAAGTGTCGGATGACAAGCTAGCCTTGGCCGCCTTTATTGTCGGCCTTCGCACGTCTAGTTTCATGTTCTCAGTTTTCAAGAAGTCGCACTCTAGCATGCCCGAGCTACTGTCGATGGCACAAAAGTACATGATTGTTAAGGACGTCACCAAGGCCCGTCGAGGTGAGTCCTCCGGAGAAGGGGAGAAGAGGAAGTACACTTGTGAGGACAAGTAACAAGTAGGGAACAAAAGGAATAAGACAGAGAGAATCTCTATCAAGGACCACCTTGGTCCCCTACCTCTGAGAGAGCGGCAAGCCTTCATGCCACTCAATGCTTCCGTGGAGCATCTCCTGTTCCAAATACAGGATGACCTTACAGTACGCGGGCCAAAGAAGATGAAGACCACCCCAAATTGGAGAAGTCTGAACAAGTACTGTCATTTCCATCGTGACTACGACCATGACACTGATGACTACTTTGATCTCAAAAGGCAGATCAAGGAGCTCATACAACCTGACCAGTTGAGGTAGTACGTTGTTGGCAGAGGACAAGCCCCACCACCTAGTCGGAACCAGGATGACAGAAAACGCCAATAACCCCTCGAATAAATCTAGATGATCTCTTGAGGGCCAGAAGAAGGAGTTGATTCGAACTCTACCAAGAGAGCCTCGGCCCACCTATGGGACACTGAACACTTGGAGATTTTATCTATCCTTTATTGTTTTAGTTGATTTAGTTATTTATTATTTTATGAAATAAAATTCTGCGAAGATTATAGTGTCCAAAATTGTTTTGCTTTCCTAAAATTTACAAATCGCTCACCAAAGTCAGAACATGACCTTACAGCAAAGTAGACAAAAAGGTAAAAGTCGTCACCAAGGCCCTCTCCGTCATCATCTACCTTTGGTGCCTCATATGGGACAAAGTCAAAATCAAGCGACTGCCTAACCACTTTCCTGTGTTACCCGAGGCATCACCCGAGTGTCTCAAGACCTCGCCCAGGCCAGCGCCCAGGCACCTCAGGCACCCAACATCAGGCGTCCCACCTCAGATGCCCAGTACTAGGCACCCAGCAATAGGGGCCCACCAAGCGCCCAGCTCCTCAACGCCTTCCTCATCTCTATCTCAATGAAATGAGCCTTTGCCAAGTTAGTCATCTCCCGAGTTATATGTAGCTCGACCTATGACTCTACTCTCGCGCAAGTAGTCACCTTATAAGCTTTTGCCACGATAACCATCTCTTGAGTTATACATAACTCGGCCTATAACTCTGTTCTTGCTCAAGCAGTCACCTTGTAAGCCTCTACCACTGCAGCCGTCTCTCGAGTTATACGTAGCTTGGCCTATAACTCTACTCTCGTGTAAGTAATCACCTTGTAAGTCTCTGAGGACTGCTTTGATCTCAAAAGGTAGATCGAGGAGCTCATATAGTGTGGCTAGTTGAGGTAGTACGTTGTTGGCAGAGAACAAGCCCCACCACCTGGTCGGTACCAAGATAACTGAGAACGCCAACAATCCCTCAAAGAAATTCAGACGATCTCCTAAGAGCCAGAAGGAGGAGTTGATTCGAACTCTGTCAAGAAAGCCTCGGCCCACCTATGGGTCACTGAACACCTAAAGATTTTATTTATCCTTTATTGTTTCAGTTGATTTAGTTATTTATTATTTTACAAAATAAAATTCTGTGCAAATTATAGTGTCCAAAATTGTTTGCTTTCCTAAAATTTACAAATCGCTCACAAAATTCAGAACATGACCTTACAACAAAGTAGACAAAAAGGCAAAAGTCTTCACCAAGGCCCTCTCCGTCATCGTCTACCTCTGGTGCCTCATATGGGACAAAGCCAAAATCAAACGATTGCCTAACCGCTTCCTTGTGTTACCTGAGGCACCACCAAAGCATCTCAAGACCTCGCCTAGGCTAGCGCCTAGGTAGGCATACTCCAGGCCAGTGCCCAGGCACCCAGCACCAGGCGCCTAATAGTAGGGGCCCACTAGGCATCCAACTCCTTAACGCCCTCCTCATCTCCATCTGAATGAAATGAGCCTCTGCCACGGTAGCCATATCCCGAGTTATACGTAGCTCAACCTATGACTCTACTCTCGTACAAGCAGTCACCTTATAAGCTTCTGCCACGATAACCATCTCCCGAGTTATACGTAGCTCAGCCTATGACTCTGTTCTCGCTCAAGCAGTCACTTTGTAAGCTTCTACCACTGTAGCCATCTCCCGAGTTATAGTAGCTCGGCCTATGACTCTGCTTTCGCACTAGCAGTCACCTTGTAAGCTTTTACTATAACAGTAATCTCCTGAGTTATACGTAGCTCGGCCTATAATTGTGCTCTTGCGCAAGTAGTCACCTTGTAAGCCTTTGCTACGACAACCATCTCTCAAGTTATGTGTAGCTCAGCCTCAGACTCTACTCTCGCACAAGTAGTCACCTTGTAAGCCTCTACCACGGTAGCCATTCCCCGAGACTATATGTAACTCAGCCTCAGCTCATGCGGCCCTCTCACGGGACGTCCATAACTCTAACTTTGCTCTCAGGCAAATAGTCTGCCTCTCTCTCTCTCTCTCTTCAGGTAATCATGTTAGATATTTTAATGTTAGGATAATATTATTTTTGCTAGGCATATTTTTGAAGCTCAGGCCATCTGTAACCCGCGAGACTATATTAGATTGACATCGGGCCACTACTAGAAGCAAGACAGCTATGTGGAGCTACAGTCCCCGTAGCAAGACCGCACTGAAGTCTCAACTCTTACAACAGTATAAGAGCTAGTTCTGGTATACACATAAGTCCCAGTCTGAAAAAGAATGGGGGCACCACAGGGTCCCATCTTGTGAGACCCAATCATGCATTTCATACATATTAGCATAATTATGTGAAATTAATTATTAATTAGATAAAATTTTTGTATGAAAATAATATTGAGTTGGTTTTAGAATCACTTAAGAATTTAGGGGGAGGTAAGTGAAATTAGTAAATTTCATGAAATATCTATACATGTGTCAAACACACGGTGATGGGTCATTTTGTTGCATGTGTGGGTGTGTGTGTGTTTGACTAAGTATAGTAAAGTGTGTGTGCATAAGTGTAGAGTTTGTGTGTGTGT